GTCTTCTGCTTTAACTTTGACTCGATTCTTCCCTTCCTGGTAGAAGTTCAGGCCTGATGGTCACCTCTTGCCACTGAAAAATCCCTTTTGGACAACTGCAAACTCATCTTCATTTAGTCTTTTCCCCTTTGGGTTAAAGGATTGAGGTTCCTTCAACTCAAGCTGGTAGCAAATAAAACAGACAAAGACCCAAAACAGAACAGAAAGGAAGAATCCTTAAATAGACCTTGAACCATTAAGTCCAACAGAGATGCTACCTTCCCAATTTCTGGAAGACTGTACTTCAGGATCATCTTTAACACCTTGGAGGCTGCGAGGATGTCTTGCCTGTTGGTGCTGATCATGGCCTCCAGGGCCACCATGATCACATCAGCTCTCTCCATGGGAGTCAGGTATTTCCTAAAGAACTGAAGGAAAACAGCAGTCTTTACGTGCCAGGATCTCACTCTGGGATTGCCCCAAAGCCTCTGGCCTCCAGAAAGGCCAGGCAACCAGGGTCCAGTGGAGGTAGGCCCTCACCTGTGTCTGGCTATTCTGTGGTGTAAGGTCAAGCTCCTGAATGCCACCCCCTTTGAGTCCCTGGGAAGAAACACTGGTCCAGACAATGTGGTGCAGAAGACAATGCCAAAGGCATTTCTATTTTGAATTTGGAACGCAATTGGTAAACAAGTCTATAGGAAATGAATTCTGACGGTCTGGGGAGTTTACCCAAGCAAAGCTAACTCTTACCTAAAGCAACCAGGCCTCTTGTCTCTGATTCTACACATCCATGTGAAGGTCGTTTTCACCCAAACAATAGTGGTGCCAATCAACTCTGTGCCTGGTTCTATTGCCGGGAGCTGAGAGTGACTAAGAACAGGACACAGATGCCTTTGCCCTCGAGCATCAGTCAGGACGAGCAAAAGAGGCAGTTTCAGGGCAGTGTGAGAAATGGGGGGCACTGAAGCTAGACGGAGCAGGTTAGAGAAGGTTTCCTAGAGTCCATATCGGTGGGGAAAGTTCCAGACAGAGGGAACAGAATGTGCAAAGGGGTTGTATGGAGAGGAAATCTATCCAACTACTGTGTCCTTCTCAGGAACCTGAGCCAGGTGGAGAAGGAGAATTGAGACGGGATGAGGCAGGACGGTTAAAGCAGGCACCCAGTTCAGGAGGAATGTCAGACTTTAGTAAGAACGATAGGAAGTTAGTGCACAGTCCGAGGGGAATAACATGATGCTGTTTGTATTTTAGAAACAGTTTTCTGACTGTAGCATAGGAAATGGTGTGATGGGGCGTGGCTGGAAACAGAGCAATCGGTAAGTAAGAGGCTGCGGCAATGACCCAGGCAAGAGATGCAGATGGACTGAATCAGAATAGCCAGGGTGCGGCTGGGTAGAGGGAGTAGATTTGAGAGTTGTGCAGGAGGCAGATCTGGACATAGAGAGCACGAGAGGAGAGAACAAAGGACTGTTCTCCTGGATTTCTGGCTGGAATGACTTGAATGACTGAACCTGAGGAC